ATTCCGACCGTCCCGGGCAACGCGCCGCAGCAATGAAGGGTCTTTTTTGCTGCTTGAAAATACCTCGCATTCCTGAAAGCCAACAAAGGAAAGCATAGCGGACGCTCAAAAGAGATCTCACGGTCTCTTGTACAGACGACGGCAGAACACCGCTCCGATTTGCTAAATGTTTCCTTTTCTTCGTCAGGACCGCTACATCTACGGTACTTGTGCACGACAGCTTAAATGTAAAGCACCACCGACGGAAGCAATATTTCCCTCAATAGGAAAGACAAGCCCCTCAAGCGATTGCGACAATCACGTCAAGCCCAGATTGCAATAAATGAACTCGACCAACAGCACCCCGGCTAATTTTTTTTTTTTTTTTTCTCGTGTGGCTTTTCAGTTTTTTGGGTTGGATTAGTTATTATCCCTTTTATCGCAGTTAGATCGTTCCCTTTAGGTTATTTTACAGCGACAGTGCAAAACGCCTAGTTTAGATCTCAAGCAAGTCGAACAGGGCGTAATCGCTTGTTTTGTTGTTTTAATTACGAGTAAGCATTTTTGTGCATTGTTTTGCTCATGCTGGAAATGCAGCCAAACCAGCTTTGCTGACATGCCCTGCCATGGGGTACATGCGGACGTATGGACAGAAGAACAGGTAGCCTTCAGGGAGAAGGAAATTTGGTTAATTTATAAAGCATGCAATGCTTTCGAATGTAGAACACAATTCACACGCAGTGTTCGTTTAGTGACGCCGCAACAAAAGGAGGCCACTAGTCACAACCGCGCAATAAAATAATCAATTACTCGTAGCTTATATCGCAAGGCCCATTCACTTTTTCTCGCCATCCTCAGAACGTCATCTCACCAATCTGATGTATTAATTGAACCACAGTGAGTAGTGGAGGATAGTGTGGCGCGTGAGTGCAGTCGTTCCTCCCACACCAGAAAAAGGACGTTGACATTTTGTGATCGGTGAAGAAAGTAGACGTTCCTAGTATTCTTCAGGTGGTCATGCCTGCGTCCGCTCGCTGATTTTCACCGACGATAACAATGGTGTTTGAAATTGGACTACATAAAACAATAACGTTTTAACGAATACCTCTCTCGTCAAATAATTTGATTGTAGGGTTGTTAAACTATCTAATTATTCCACCAATCTCTCCGCTAAGTCTAGCGAGAAATTTTTTCGCTAAATTTAGCGGGGAAATTTTTCCGATAAATCTAGCGGGAAAATATACCCATCATGCACCGCCTGGCTACGCCGAAGCCGACGGCGACACAGACGCCGACGCCGCTCAAGCCGGAAGTGGGCGCCTAAGAGCTGCGCTCTAATAAGTTGTATGGCTTTTTGTATACGCAGTAATCGTGCATCGCGAACGCTATCGCAATCTCAGCAAACAAATTCCTCGAGGGTCTGCAAAATTAAATAAATTTGATGAACCTACATGTGAGACCGATGAACCTATTATTTAATTAGTTAAGTAAAGGTCCCCGATTAATTGGTTAAAATTATTCTTCGGCTCAAGTACTATAATTTTTATAGCATTTCCGAGCGCGATTGCGGGAGCATGAAGTTAGTCGGGTGCCATAAACACGATGCTTAAGAGGAAACACAAATGCTTAGAAGTAGAATAAATTTGTACAAAAGAAGAGTCTATCTTTTTTAAGGGAAAGGCGGGGGGGGGGGGGGGGGGGGGGGCGTACAGCGAATGATACAATATAGGGCCCAAGACATCGCCTGCAGCCGGAGGCAATATTGGTGCATTTGGAGACGAATGCCTCAGGTACGACTCTGGACCATTTCAGATCAAAACTTCGCATTATATTTCAGGTCCACACCAAACAAAGAAATCGAAGAATAAAAAATAATTAAAAACTCGAAGGTAGATATACTATAGAAAATACATAATCCAAGGAGATAGTGATCGTAGAACATTATGCGCCAGATAGACAGAACCTGAGAAAGCAGCTAAACAAACGACGTTAGCGAAATGGCAAAAAGAACCAACAGGCTGAACGATACACCATCAAGAAGGAAATAAGTTTAAAAATAAAACAAGACTAAGCGCTGCAGTGGAGATTTGTTACGCCTATTTGCCAACCGAAAAACGCATCCCACTTTTCAGTTCCTCCTTGCGACGTTTATGATAGGCGGCACAAGCATAGACTCTATAGAGATACGAAGGAAAGCGAATAAGGAGCACTCCTGATCGAATCTCCTCGGGCCGCTCTTACCTACCTCTCTCCTTCTCGCCGCTTTTTTCTTCTTTTCACAATAAATCCAAGGCAACGCACAACGAAGAAAAAAAAAAAAGGAAGCAAGAACGAATACACACATTTCTCGCGAAATGAGTTTCGCCAAAATCGGGAGCTCACGTTGGGAACCTGAGCATTACGCTGATTTGCGTCAATTTTATTTGAGCGTTTTTTTTTTGTTTTTTTTTTGTAGCCTTTAAGAGCATTGCAATGATGTTTTCTAAAACACCCGTGTGCAATACCCGCAGAAACGTAACACATAATTATATCACGCGTTTTGTTTTGAAGCTCTGTTTTTTTCTACTTCGAGCAATGGTGCGGATGCCAGTACTCTGGAAGTAAGATGTCGTATTGCCAATGTTCATCCACTTTGGTATTAAAACTCCGGGTTTCTGTGACAGGGCCAACACATGCAGCAATGCCATGTGCATGCTATGCCATGCAGCAATGCCATGTGTGCATTTCGTTTTGTTTTCTTTATTTATTTTTCTTTTGCTCTTAGTTACAGAAATAGGGAACTCCGGGAGCTGCTACTGTTGAAAATTAAAGTTTAAACGATCCTTGCTAGCGCGCGGGCATGAGAGCGAAAAAGGGAGAAAAGAAGGAAGTTGAAGTAGATCGTTCACCAGAGCTGGGTCATCCTGTTCCTTTCCCCTACGATTGCTCTCAAGGCGCAAACTTTGGTGCCGAAACCCGGGAGTTGAACAAAGTTGGACGCCGCATTGGTGAATATGGATCGACTAAAGAAGAAACGAGCGGTTCGACGCGGCCGGAACACCAAGCTGATTAATGAGATACGAGCTGCGCTAGAGTCGGACCCCATGGACTCCAAGAGACTTGAAAGTTTGCGTGACAGACTGCTCGCTAGCAACGACGAGCTTCGGAAAGTCAATGAGGAGATGAAGCCCCTCATCGACGACAACGACTTAGAGGAGGACTACAACACCGTGGCTGACTTCGAGGACGAGGTCGCAAGGATTGTCAGTGAGGTGCGAGCACAAACGACACCGCAACCGCCACGCTCCGGAGGCGAAAAAGGCAGCAGCTCCCAGTTGACTGGAGTGAAGATCCCGAAACTACAACTGTTGCAGTTCCAAGGTGAGCTCACAAAATGGCAACCATTTTGGGAGCAAATCGACGTCGAGGTACATTGCCACACAAGTCTTTCTGAGCCGGAGAAGTTCCAGTACTTGCGCTCGCTTCTCGTGGGACCAGCAGCCAGTATGATTTCTGGACTACAATCCACAGCTGCATCTTACCAAGATGCGGTAGAGATGCTGACCGAACTTTTCGGTGATAAACAACGACTCGAACGCGAATCTTCTAGAAAGACTGTGTAAGCTACCAGCTGTGAAGTCTGAGCGCGACGTACAGGGCCTACGGAACGTCTACGATCACGTGCAAACAAACATCCGTGGCTTGCGTTCCCTGGGTATTTCGAGTGATACATACGCAACTATGCTGGTTGATATACTTCTGACCAGCTTGCCATCACACATCGTAGTGGAGTACTATCGCATCAAGAGCTATATGCCACAACTGGCTCCTCCTACTCTCCCCGAACAGACTGCCGCCACTTCCAGTACTGCGACACGTTGTGAGGCTATGGTTGATACATCGAGGAATACGGGAAAACAGCTGGCTAATCTGCTACAATTTCTACGGGTGGAAATCGAGAGCCGCGAGCGATCCTCACGCGACGAGCGTCCATCGGCGAATCTTTCACCCTGGGCTTCCAGACCTCGACAGACTATATCGATTCCTTCAACAATGGTGTTGCAAAACTCAAGTCATCTAGATGACGCTTGTTTCTTCTGTGGAAAGGAGAATCATGCTGCCAGCACATGTTCTTCAGGGAGCTCCTTAGATGAGAAGAAAAGGCGGCTTGCACAGGATAGCCGATGTTTCCGATGCACGAAACGAGGCCATCGCTCTCAGGATTGTCGCACCAAGGCTTGATGTACCACGCGCGGCGGGAGACATGCCGTCTCTATGTGCATCCCAGAGTGGCGGCCAAACTCACCTCATCGTGGAGCTCCGACCGAGAGCGGAGAGGCCACCGACGTCTTAACGGCAGGTTCCACATCTTCACCTGGCGGCAACGGCGTTCTCCTGCAGACTTTCAGGGGCTGGATTGTGACTGACAAGAAATCTGCACACATCCGTGGCATCGTAGATGGGGAAGCCAGAAAACATTCATCCGAGAAGAAGTGGCCACAAAGCTTTAACTGGACACTATAGGGTACCTCGACTTGAAATTTAACATCTTCGCAAGCACAGAAACAAACATTTCCAGCCAACGATTAAAGGTCGTGCGTCTCCATCTGCGAAGCCAGTACGCTACGGCGAGCCATATATTGGAGGCCGTGGTTGACCCGTTCATATGTAAGGAGCTTGCAGAAACACCGGTCAACCACTCGTTCATACGAACATTCTCGGGCGAGCTCGCGGACGAGTTTATGTTCCCCTCAGTGAAATCAAAAGCCGTTATAAGTCTTCTCGTAGGGGCTGACCAGATGTGGTGACTTCTTACGGGAGAGATCCGACGCGCTGAAATTGCCACCGAGCTGGTGGCCATTTCAACTGTGCTAGGATGGACCTTCCAAGGGCCGACCACCGCAGCGCAGGTGTTATTATGTTCTATGAATGCGGTTGTGTGTGCTCTCAGCGTCAGGGCTAGTCACGAAGATGATTCCATCGCTTTGCAAAAGTTTTGGGAATTAGACAGCCTTGGCATCGTGGACGAGCCAACGACTACAATGCAGGACCATAAGAACGTAATCGAACACTTCAACGAAAACATCACGATGAAAGGAGGGCGCTATCAAGTCGCTCTCCCCTGGAAGGACACCTCAGCATACTTGGAAAACAACTATGATGTAGCCCACAAAAGACTACATAGCCTGATCAGAAGACTGAAGCGGGATGGCACCGTTACAGAGTACGACGAGGCAATTAGACGCTATATGGTTGATGGGCATGCAGAAAGAGTCGAAGAGGACAGCCAGAACAGTGGACCCGTCTACTACATGCCTCATCGAGCAGTGGTTCGAGCGGACTCAGCGACAACGAAGCTTCGAGTCGTCTTCGACGCCTCAGCTCACGGACCAAATTAAACACTGGATCCCTGAACGAACACCTGGAGACGGGCCCGAAGATGAACACGGAACTCCTGCCAGTGCTGCTACGGTTCCGGAAGCAAAAAGTGGCGGTCACTGCCGACATACAGAAGGCCTTCCTGCAGATAGCCATCGCTAAAGTAGACAGGGATGCCCTTCGCTTTCTATGGTTTTCCAGAGCGTCTCGACCGCACGAGCCACTGTCTGTCATAGAGGAATGGCGAGGGACAAGAGTACTTTTTGGAACTACTGTGAGCCCATTTCTACTTGCAGCGACACTCCGCCATCACCTGGAATCTGCGAGAGACCAGAGGAAACCCATCGCAGATACTCTACTTCGCTCGTTCTACGTTGATGACATGCTGACAGGACATACTCAACTCGAACCGAAATACAAAGCGCTCCGTGCTACAAGCTTCTGCTCGAATTTTCGATCCCCTTGGATTCCATGCCCCCTATGTAATCCGGGTGAAGATGCTGTTTCAGTGAATGTGGCAGCGAGGAGTGGGATGAGACGATGAGCTGCCAGATGACTTGCGTGAAGAATGGATGGCGTGGTGCACCGAATTGAGAGATCTAAGGTTAGTCACGACACCGAGATGTCTCTTGCGGATGGATGGGGAACTGAATTCTTTGCAACTACATGTATTCACCGACGCCAGTCCTAGCGCATACGGGGCCTGTGCATACTTGCGCGTCGTGAACAACACAGGAGATGTTATCTTGACTTTAATTATCGCTAAAGTCAGAGTTGCTCTTCTCAAGACGCTGTCCCTGCCGCGTCTCGAATTGATGGGAGCACTATTGGGAGCACGACTTGATGTATCATTGCGAACAAACGTATTTGACACTGGCATCGAAGTATGGCACTGGAAGGACGCCATGATAACGCTGGGTTGGATCAGGGGATCTTCGACATATTGGAAACCATTCGTATGCAACCGGGTAACGGAAATCCAAGCCAAGAGTGATCCCTCCAGCTGGCACCACTGTCCTGGTAGCATGAATCCAGCTGACTTGATGACTAGAGGAAAGACCGTGAGGCAGCTCAGTGCTTACGATGAATGATGGTTCGGTCCAGATTGGTTTAGGCGTGACCTGGTAGACTGGCCTCCTGCGGCGTCTCCAGCCAATGATCTGCCCAGCGATATCGAAGCGGAAAGACGACATAAAGTGAATGTCTTGCTCCACGATGCAACTGTACCTTACCCGCTTCTGACTTTGGAGAACTTTGGAAGCTACACGAGGATGCTGCGGGTCACGGCTTGGGTCCTGCGCTTCGTCCAAAATTGTCGACTACCGAGAGGGTCAACGGAGCTCTCCTTGTCGGCAGCGGAAATTCGAAACGCAGAGTTCTTGTGGATAAGACATGCTCAGCATGAATGCTTTGACGCTGAGATTCATTCCCTCTCCCGAAGTGAAGAAATCTCGGCAAGATCAAAGATAAAGGATCTACAACCTCTCAGTGACGAGGCTGGCGTTATGCGGATCCGCGGCCGACTACATAACGCATTACTTCCGGAGGGTGCTAGTCATCCCATTATTCTACCGGAAGATCATCCCCTGAGTAAGCTAGTAGCCGCGTCAGCCCATCAGCGCACCTTGCATGGAGGCGTTCAGGTGACGATGACGGAGTTACGTCAGAGGGTTTAGCCGCTCAGCGCCCGGAGAACGGTAAAGGCGGTGATCGGCCAGTGTCGAGTATACCGACGCTTTTCTGCACAGCCAGCGAGCCAGTGCACCAGTCGCACCGCTACCGCGGGACACAGTCCGCGAGGGTCACCCCTTCCAAGTCGTAGGAGTCGATTTTGCGGGACCTTGGTTCGTCAAGACCGACGGTGACGACGTAAAGGCGTACATTGCCCTTTTCACTCGCGCAACCACTCGAGCTGTACACCTAGAGCTCGTCTCTTCCGTAACCACGACACCCTGGCTTCTGGCCCTTCGACGCTTTCTGGCTCGTAGATTAATACCGAGCAGGATTTACAGTGATAATGCTCTTACGTTCAAGAGGGCTCGAAAGACCTGAGGGCTATATGGGAAATAATGCGCAACCCAGTGTTGCAGGATTTCTGCACTTCGCAGCTAATCACGTGGAAGTTCATCGTGGAGAGAGCGGCATGGTGGGGCGGTTGGTAGGAACGACTGGTGCGTTCGGTAAAGGTCTGCCTCCGAAAGGTACTTGGACGACAGAGCCTATCGTTCGAGGAGCTGACGACTATCTTGATTGACGTTGAGGCTACAGTAAACTCGCGGCCCTTGACATACCTCCACGCAGATCCTGGCGAGCCAGGAGCCTTGACGCCAGCACATTTGCTCATCGGGAGAAGACTGACCACACTGCCCGAGGTCGAACCGCCCTAGGCGTCGTCTAGGAAACCCTTTGCCACCACTGGAAGTATCGGCAGCGCCTCATAAGCCAATCCTGGAAAAGTTGGAAGCAAGAATATTTCCGAGAGCTTCGCTCATCACATCTCGCCCGACTTGCTGGCAGCTGCACACCGAAAGTTGGGGACGTGGTTTTGCTGCACGATGACAACACCCCACGTCACCTGTGGAGAACCGTCCGCGTCACCGATGTCTTTCACGGTAGAGACGGCCACGTGCGATCTTGCACGATCATGTTACCCTCCTGCACATGAATGCCCGTGCAGATGCTCTACCCATTTGAGAACTGGTGATCAAATGAGCGGCTTGCTCATTTGGGGGGGAGGGTGTTGAAAATTAAGGTTTAAACGATCCTTCCTGGCGCGCGGGCATGAGAGCGAAAAAGAGAGAAAAGGAGGAAGTTGAAGTAAATCGTTCACCAGAGCTGGGTCGTCCTGTTCCTTTCCCCTACGAGCGCTCTCAAGGCGCAACAGCTACCTTCCAAAATTAAAGAAAGAGAGAGAGAGAGAGAGATCGGAACATGCTCAAAACATCGGAAGACACAATCTTTCTGAATCGAAGTTGAGTGAAGCTGCTCGTAGATCTCAGGAACTTTTTATTGGGCAATGTAAGGTTCCGTTCAGACGCGATCGGCGGGATCGCGAGGTATACCGCTGAAGAGTAGGGAATCTTGTATCGGGTAGCATTTAAGTTCCCTGCTCTCTGATTTTTTTTTAATTTTTGTGCACATTGAAATAAACTTTGTAAAATGAAAATAAATTGCGAATCTCTACTATTGCCAGACACTGTAGGGCAATTTCACGTAACTCATTTCCGCTTCCAGTAAGCCGCGTTCTGCCATGTTTATGAACCGCATTCACCACTTTGCAAGCAAACGAGTAGTTATCGGCTACGTTTTTGGCGTAGGTGAAACACGCGAGTATAGCGTTTCTCGAACTCTATCGACGACAGAACCCAGTAAGTGCAACTAGGGACGCATTTTTGGACCCTGTAAACACAGGCTTACTCCGTTTATTCTAACTTGAAACGTTACTTGTCTAGGTGAACGGCGTTTCTGAAACCCAAAAGTGAAGCCTAGATAAAAGCATGGACGCGAGGCTCGGTGCTGATTGATTGACGGGTTGGAGAGAAGAAGTGAGGTACTCGGCGCTGATTGGTTAACGGGAAGGTCATGTGACCCGGGGGGAAGCGAGGAGGAAATGTAGTCGAGGAGGCGGGGTGGGTGAGGAGGATTCGGTTAGAGGTTTCTGGAAGATCAGCAGGTTTATCATTCCAAGTGTACGGATGCAACGCCCTAAATTATCTGTTGAAGAGCTCCATGAGCGTAAGCGTCTGGCTGAACAGGCTGGACACGCTGCTGAACGATTATATAAACGTCTGTGATGGTATAACGTTTCACGTCTGCCGGGCAACGTCGACTGCTTGACTTTTCTGTCGCCAGCTCGTCTGCCGTCCGAATACAGACCGGTATGTGTAAAATTCCAGTCTAGCCGAAGCTCTTTTATGCTCCAGGCTGCCCTGGCTGGAGCAGTTCATTACAATGAGGAAGAACTCGAGCGATCTCAAAAACACTGCTTCCACTTATAACATAAGGGTAAGGTTCATCCACTTGGCGTCTGGCAAGGTTTTGAGGCGGAAGTATGTCACGTGAAACCACCATAGAGGAATGCAGTGAAGGCTATACTCGAGGGTTCGCTTTTCCGCGGAGCACGGGGATGGCTAATCAGCGCGATCGACAGCATAATACCAGTGGTTTACAGGACAGAGATAACGGTTGCGCACGAAGATACCGTCTGTGAAGATTGCACTTGTATGGAGAATCGTGTTTTTGATCTGTCATTCGCTACGTTATTTATGCACAACGCGATCATTGGCTGTATATGTGCTGTGCGGGAAAGTAGACGCAAGGGCCTTGTTCATAAATAGGCGGTTATTACTCGAGTAAATGCAGTAATTGATGTGTGCCTTACTAAACTCCTAGATCAGTGCCTCTTGCTCTTTCTCCTCTCTTGCCATTTTCTGTAAATTAGCGCTTAGGCTTTTCAATGCTCGGATACAAAATGCCCTTGACTGTTAAATACTGTGTTTGTTTACGCTACTGTAAGATTTAGTGAAATGTTTTTATTATATTTTTCAATTTTTTTATGTAATGTATTTGTCCTTCCGACTATCTAGACAACATATTTTGTGCAACCAATGCGATATTCATGTCCCATTTCTTGTTCGTAATCATCGAGGTAGGGGGCGTAGAGCGATAAACTGGCAGCCGAAAGTGACTCCCATCCGGCCTCCGCCATGTTGCACATTTTGACCATTAGACACGTGACCTTATCGTTTTACGTCTAGATTTTAACAAAGCACCGCACACAGATAGTTTAGATTTAATATTTTATAACACTACCGACGAGAAACGTTATGCTTCCTTTATTTTAGGTTCAAATTGT